CGAACAGACTGAGAAACGATGGAAGGAACCCGCGAATTTATATATTCTTCGTTTCCGGGATAAAAATAACCTCATAACCACATTTTTCCGTTTCCCGGATGAGGTATTCTCGCAATCGCATTTTCAGTTTCCCGGATAAGGTATTTCCACAACTTCAATTTCCGTTAGATAATTTTGCGCACCACGTTGGTCAGCGGACTGTACTCGATGACTCGATCGTGAACGATGAGACAAAAAGCTGTGGTTTTCGGCGGAACGTTTTCCTTGTTTTCGAACTCGATGCGCACGTCCACGGTGGCGCTTTTCACCGATTCGTTTTGACGGGAACAATCGATCACCGCGAGCGGAGCTACCCGCGCAAATTCGCGCGGGGAAAAGAGCGCGTCGTCGCGACCGTTCCCGTAATACGCTCCTCGAAATTTCGCGTACATCTCGTACAGCACGGCGAACTTGTCGCTCTCGAAATCCACGTTCACGTCGTCGTAGGGATAGAATTCCGAGTTGAGATACAATTTCACGTTGGCGAGCGCGCAATGATCGAACCTCGAGGCGTCGCCCGCGAATTCGTTTCGCCGTCCGGTCTGCAGCGCGAATATAACGTATCGCGGCTTCTCTAATTGCGGCGCGGCTTTTACGGCCCACGAATGCTTGGTCGTGCTCTGCAGCAGGGGAAATTCGTACAGATCCCAAGAGCGAAAGCCCGCGCTCAGAAATCGTCCGCTCTCCAACGTTCGCAACAGCGATAATTTAGTCACGTCGTTCAGCGCCACGTGAGGCATACGCCATTGCACTTTCAACAACGTAATTTTAGGATCCTTGGCCGGATCTCTCGGCACGGTCTTTTTCGGATCTACGACGCAGTTGTGGTCGCTATGAGAGCGTATCAGGATAAGCTCGTGTCACGCGTTTATCACCACGCGTCTGTAGTCCTCGCAGAAACCCAAAAGAATATTCAAAGGTACGCAAAAGTTGAATTGATAGGACGCGTTGTTCAGATTCGATTCACTCGTCGGATAACTCCATCCAGCGTTCTGCAGTTTTCTGGCTCGTTCGACGGTCAGCGACACGTAGTTCTTTATTGTGCTGGTTATGCCGACGTTTCTACACCGGTCGATCTCCACGCCGTCGAGCTCGTATCGAATTTCGTCGAACATAAACGCGACGCAGTTGTTGACTAATTTCGCGTATTGTTCCTCATTCGTCGCGCCGTCGTCGTTGAGTCGTCTCTCGACGTACAGGAAACTGTCGCACGGCAGCGTATACAGATCCTGCTGCTGTATGGGTATTCGTATCTCGTCGTTGTGTCCGAACATCGTGTTGACGTACGGGTTATACGTGTGAGTCTCGATTCCGACGATGCGTTCGTCGAAGATCGGCTCACCGCCGATACTCAGGATGTCGGCCATGATTTTTCCTCTCGAGGTAGAAACGGCTCGACGGTGACGCGTTTCTCACGGCGAGACCCAGCGATCGTAGGAATCTGACGTTGGCGTTGCTGAGAACGGGTCCCCCTCCTCCGCCTCTTCTCTTTCCTACGCTTCCGATCTCGTCGTAGAACGGGCTAGTTCGCTCGTTCGTACAATTCGTGCTAGATCCGTTCAGAACGAGCATCCCTCCTCTCGCTCTCTCTTTTTTCAGGGATACGCGTACACACACACTAACCGTGACGACGACGTACGTGCAATCTGATCGTTATCTCCTCGCCGCGAAAGTCGATCAGCCGATCTTTCTGATCTACGACTCGCACCGTGATATCGGTGACGTTTCGCGCGACGATTGGGAGGTAAATGATCTGCGTCGGAGTCTCCGACAGTTCCCGGTGGAACTTTCGGCGCGAATTCGTGTATCGCGTGCACCGAGCGTCCGTTGCTGTACGCTCCCGCGGTGATACTGCACTCGATGCGAATTATGTTCACGCTCATGACGTCAACGGGTCCGTCGAAAACGTACCATTTGTTCGGTTTTAGGATACGATCGCTCGAGAAACCCAAAAGAGAACTGATGTTGTTCGGTTTTGTAAAATTCACTCGGTAGGCGCACTTTATCTCGCTTCTCATGGTATTCTCGTTGGCGCGAAGATCGAGCACTCTGTCGCCACCGTCGTTGTCCCCGTATATGTCATAACCGTCGCCATCGTTGTCATCGTCGTTGTCGTCGTCTTCGTCCACGTATGCGCGATAAATCTCGTCGTCGGTTTCGTTCTTCTCCGTTTGGTTTTTTTCTTTTACCCGTCCAGCGTCGTCGGTTCGTGGTTTTCCTTTTTTCTCCTTAATTTTGTCTCTCTCGCGGGCGCGACGTTCGCGATGGAGAATAGCGGCGCGCAGATATCTGCTCACGGCTCGCAGCTCGTACGAACCTTCCGGAACGACGATTCTCCGGTTGTCTTCGCCGTAGTAGAAGCGATTGTTCGCGGACGTAACGTTCGGTATCGAATTGTACGTCTCAAAAGTCGCCAAACCCAGCTCGTATTCGCCGTTGCTCAGATCCAAAGCGGGAAAGTGATTCGCCGTGAGAACGTTGCCGGTCCCGGTCAACGTGAGCGTCAGCGACATCGCGGGAGAACGTCGATCGTCCGCCCGCTCCCCCCTAATCGATCTCGCGAAGAAATCGCAGGCACAGCTGTCCGCAGATTCTCTGATCAAATGTCTGAAACGCGCGACGATTGTACGTCACGATCGCGCTCTCGCCGCCACCGTCGACGAGATACCGCGCAAGATCCCTCGGCGGGCGGAGATTTCCAAACGCGTCGAAGTAGATCGCCGAGTTCCCTTTTTTCGCGTAAGCGACCCAATGCGTGCCCGGGCCCGCGTCGTCAAGATTCACGATGCCGCACTCCGCGCGTCGCACCCTCGTCGGCAGAGCGTCGCGCATGAACACCCCGCGGAAGAACGGCACGCGCAGGCGACGCGCCGCTCGATCGAGCTGTTCGTCGGTCGTGACGCCGTACGGAGGTAGACGCGCTAATCTCGCCTTTTTACGCGAGGTTTTTTTTTTCGCCGACTCTCCTCGCGCCACCTCCGCGCTTCTTATACGGCGCGAGGTGCAACCCGCGACCCTCCATCGCGCGATTGTGTCGCTGCAATTCGTCGAGCTGTTTTTGCGCCGCTTTGTTGGCGCTCACCGCTTTGGCCACGCTGGCCGCGCCACCGATCAAGGAACCGAGAGCGCCCAACATCGGTAGAAAGGGCAAGAAGCCGCCGCGTTTCGCCGTCGGAAGTATCCTCCGCTTCTTCCTTCTCGTCTTCGCGCTTCTCCTCAATCCCGTTCCTTTTCTCGTTTTCCTTTTGCGTTCCATACCCATGCCCAGCTTCGTCTTCGTCTTCATA